TTGTTAAATATTTCTTTAAATGTTAGAGCATTTGTCACTGACCAAGGCTCAAATTTTGTTAGCTTCAGCAAAAGTGTTTATGTTAGCCCACAGCGTCCTTATTTTACAGTTAACGGTAAAGAGATTGTGTATTTGTTTGATCCGCCTCATTTGTTAAAGTCAACACGTAACATGTTTTTCAAACATCATTTTAGTATTGATGATGAACTTACTGATAACAAATATATTATACAATTTTATAATGAGGATAGCAAACTTAATTTAAGATTAGCACCTAAGCTTACTCATGCTCACATAAATCCAGGACCATTTGAAAAAATGCGAGTCTATTTGGCAGCCCAAATTTTTAGTGAATCAGTAGCTGCTGGAATGAACACTCACTTAGAATTGGGTAAATTACCGTTGGAATCAAAATGTACAATTGATGTTATTGATAAAATGGATAAACTATTTGACATTTTTAATTCGAGTAAAATCCCAAATAGTAAATCCTTTAGAAGACCTTTTAAAAATACTTCGATTCAAATAGAACATCTTTCTATGATGCTTTTGTTTTTTAAAAAAATAAAAGTTATTACTAAGATAAACTGTACAGACGTGACTAGTAAGATGAATTTTATAAACGGTTGGCTGATATCCATTAATGGATTGTTGAAGTTGTGGGTTTCATTACATGAATCAACTACACACCCTAGTGATTATGTGCTATATACCAACCGTTTAAACCAAGATATCTTAGAAAATTTATTCGGTATGTTTCGCAATAAGAATGGAAACAATCGAAATCCCACGCCTGTACAATTTTACATAGCTTTTCGGAATTTATTTTGCTTAAACTATTTTCAACATTCACCAAATGCTAACTGTATTAAAGACCTTGATGACATTTTGTGTCATATGAATCCTCAGGAATTTGGGTCTACCAATGTTATGTTGCCAGAACCTTCATTAAGTGGTACATATTTTAATTTCAAAATTGGTACTGTTGACTATAGATTCTTAAATTTACCTGAAAAAAATGCCTTACATTATGTTTGTGGTTATCTGTATAGCAAGTGTTTAAGTCAACATACCTGTGATTTATGTGTAGAGTATGGTAGGTACCAAAACAATTTAGACCAAGCATTTTTACTATGCTATTTTAAAGCTTATACTAATACTGCACAGACAACTTATGGTAACCTTCAGATGCCCAATAATGATTTTTACCAATTTATTTTTGAACTTGAAAATATATTTATTCAACGATTTCCTTTGCTTGCCGTTGCTAAAGGAGTAGCTTCTAATTTAAATGAATTTTTATGTAATGTACCTTTTAAGCACCCATGTCCACATTTTGATTATGTTTATTTAATTAAGTTATTTGTAAGATTTAGAATATTTTCCTCTGTTAAATATCTAAATAGAGATTTAGTTTCAGAACGTCAGTTTAAAAATAGAAAACTAACAATACTAAAACACTTATAATTAATGATGATATAATGTCAATGTAATATTCATCATATTATTCTAGAAAAATGCTGTTTAATTATTATTTGTTATTGTTTTTTTTTGTTTTTATTTGTACAATTTGACATATAAGTACTTATTTACTAGCCAAATTTTTAATAATTTAAAAAATGTGTTAATTTTATTAAAAAAAAAAAATGTAAAAATCATAAATAAAAAAATGTTTTAGTCTAATTTAAGATTACATGTTGTCTAATATTTTAAAAATAATGACTTATTTGATGTTAAAATTTTACAGGGATTTTAGATACCACGATAGGGAAAATACTTGAAAATAGTACATAGATGCATATTACAATTGACAGTGTCAAAATATACAAGATAGAAATCCATCTAAGACACTGCACATCTGTGGCAGTGAAGTGATCTCATTAGTATCATTTAATTATTTTAACATGGCAGATATTATATTGGTCAAATATATTAATTTATGTTTTATTTTTCAGAAATATTGCAGTCTGCTTCTGCTTCTCCGGCTTCGCTTTATTCCATGCAAGTGGGATTAACTACTCTTATTTTTGCTCTACATGCCATTTTATTCCTGCAATAACCTACCCTTTTTATATTTTTCTTTCTTAATCTATTCTCTTATTTTTAATCCATATTCTTACTGTATCTCTCTCCACTATTCAAACTTGCCTTCAAACAATTGTGATCTATTAGTTTTCATAACTACATAAGTTGCATTTTAGCTTTTAATAAATACAATATATATTTGATTTCATAAAACGTGTATTTTTTTCCACTATGTATTTAATGTGAATACCTACTCAATCATATATTTGATTTATACTAATCTTATGCAGTTGCTAATTATTAAATTAAGCATTTTAAGTAATTAGTAAGTAATTGGAAAAAAACTAGTTCTATACAGTTCTCTAGATCTATACATTTTTGGAAAAAAATTGTATTTAACATTTTGTTTTTCTGATATGGTTACACTGTTTAGCCAACGGGAAGATGGCCGCCACGTTTTTGAGTATTGGGTATCTTTACCATGTTAATTTTTATCAGTGTCCAGGCCCTGGTATAAATGCGTAAAAACCATCGTGCAATAACCTTATATTATACCATAATAATATTTCTTTTTCTAATGTATAGGAAAATGTATTATTATATGCACGGACATGCGGGCGTCGTCTCCGCCGCGTTGATATCGGTGACGGTGGCGACGGCCCGTGGCTGGTCTGCCACATATTATTATTCTTATCAAATATCACATAATACGATTATATGAATATGAAATAAATATATGATCACTGATTAATATTAAGTAAATTATTTTTAATTAATTGTTGAATATTGTGTTAAAATAAAAATTTACAAAAAATCCTTGACATTTTTTTTCCTTGTAATTTCCTTACATTAAGTCATTAAGAACACTATTTTATAAAATTTAAAAAAAGGCCTTTGGGGGGGATCCGACCCCCACATCCCCCCCCTTGTATACGCCCCTGCTCGAGTTAGGCGACCGGAGCCGGCATTTTTGTTAGACCGAGTCGCCGAGCGAGGTCACTCACTCGCACGGACAATTAAAAACAAAAATATCCCTCGATTTGTTATGCAACACCTCCCCTAGTGGGCCCAAGTGGACTCGATGGATAGTTAAAATAAAATAAGTATATGATTAATATTTAGTAAATTTAAGTATATTATAGTATATTTCGTAATATTTTAGTTTTTAATTGTCCGTGCGAGCGCAGCGAGTGAGTGACCCCGCTCGGTGACTCGGTGCAACAAAATTGCCGGCTTCGGTCGCCAAACTCGAGGTCCTCCGGGCGGCATTATAGTAGTGTTGCGGGCATGCGTTTAAACGTAAAATTGAAAACTTTGGAAGACCATAACTTCGAAACTAAGTGTTAGCGACAAATTCTGATTGCACCATCGTTCTTAACTCCATGAGTTACTGCATGAGTAAAAAAATTTTAAATGGCAAGGGGGAACTAAACTGCATTTATACTTGTATAAACCGTCATAAAACCGAAAAATTGGATACCGGTATTATAATCTAAACTGAAACCGAAAAAAAATTGGATACCAGTATTAACTTCAAAACCAAAACAGGAAAAATTGGATACTGGTATTATAATTTAAAACCGAAACCTAAAATATAATTTAAAAAATGGTATTTTTTTTGAAAATCTTTGTATCTTGAACATTTTGGAAACTTTACTTTACACAAAAGACATATCGTAAGCGCAATCTGGCTATTTAAATAAATTAATAAACTAAACTATTTATTCTAATGCTAAGAATGAAGGTAAATAGTCCAGGTCTTGAAACCGGTACAAACCGTTTAAAAACTGAAATCGGAAAAAGATATTGTAATTTAAAACCAAAACCTAAAAAAAATTGGAACCGGTATTAAATCCAAAACCGAAATTGAAAAAAATTAAATACTGTTACCTATGCAAAATCGAAACCGAAACCGAAATATTTTCAGTCGGTTTCAAGCCCTGTAGATATGTGAGTACCTTGTCAATGAACATTAGTGTTGTTATTTGAGTTTATTCGTTATCGTTACAAACATCCAATTTATTATTTCTTCATAATTCATGACATGAACAGTTTATAATTTTTAGGAAAGTAAATGGTACTTAGATTTCACACAATAAACAATTTACACTAAAAATAAAAGTCCAAATTAGAGTTTGGATGCAGCCAAATTCAATCGTAAATATAAATTATATTATAAAAAATCCCGAACAAACATTTCCGATAAAAATCATTGATCTTAACTCTGTGAAATATTATGTAAGTGGCGACAATATTTTTTTAATTTCTCGAGGATCGTGGTAAATTAGACATAAGCCAAATATTTTTACAAACGTACCTTCTTATTTAGTTTTTACATCCAACAAGATGGACTGGTACCTACCTACCTATATAATATTATAGTCCATGGCCAAGCTGAAGACTATTTAATTCTTGGGAATACACAAAGAAATAATAATATGTGGGTAGTGGGTTTAATATAAATTATAATTTATATTTAAGTTACATAAACGTCTATATTGCAAAATCGTTTAGAAAAATAAAATATCTGTAACCAGCGTCTCAGCCCAAAAACATATTTATATTAAAATATCTAGGAGGTAGCAGTTTGTTAAGAATTTATTCTTTATAATATTAGTATAAATATAGATATATAATATAATAAGTTATAACCAATGATAAATGATAGTACATTTGGTGCTGATTGGGAACTTTGATTTTAAAATTGGGCGAAGTAGATGTAGTGGCTGTTGAAGGTTTTTCTTTTTAGTTTAAAGTTCGGGCCCCAAATTAGTATTTTATCAGAAGTAAATCAGAGATATTCGTCATCAGGAGATGATGGATTTTGAGTACCCTGATAGTAAACAGCTGGATGGTCGGTTCTTTTTAATGTAAATGGTGCATAATATACAGATTTTTCTGAATTAACAAACTTTTTTTTGGTTTTTAGAAAAATTGAATCGTCAAAGCAAAGTATAAAACTGAAATCTTATGTTATGGTAACTGCAGTCGAAGCTGTGGTGCTTATTTGTTATTGTGCCAATTTACAATATACTTTACAAACAATTTCTGGAGAAGTAGAAAACATCTTGACCGCAAGTCTTTGCAAATATGCCACGAATAAAAACTGGCGATTATTTTGGAATCAATTTCAACAACACTATTATTGTTGCGGTAGTTACCAAAATACTGATTGGTACCAAACAGCTTGGGTTTCACCTCCATCCTCATTTTCTCTACTAAAAAAGTAAAAAATAATATTTCATAAATTGGAATAATATTATTTAAAACTTTATTCAAGATACACACAACATAATGGGAAATTTATTATACCTGCTGCTCCCATAAGTTGTTGTTTACCTGACGCTATTTGCGATACATTCACAGATTGTGAACAACCTGATCCAGAAAAATATTATCAAAATAGTTGCTCTTCGATTATAGCTAATCAAATAAATTCTATATCATATACAAGATACTCACTTTACGCTATATTAGTTATTCAGGTAATAATAATACAAGTGATTAAAACAGTTAAATAATTGTATAAATATTTTAATAATGAAGTAGGTACAGGTGTACAACAATATTAAGGTGATATCCAATTTACTTTTTATAATATTTATCATTTTTAATAACATTATTTTTTCTCACCAAACAGTAAATAAATTTAATTAATTACCTAGTTTTCTGTTTAAAGGTAATAATAATTTAATGATCAATACACAATATTTAGGTATAAATTCCTTCTAAAAGTTTAACAATTAATATATAACATAATTACAATTTACAGTATATTTAGTCAAATCTATATGTAGGTATACTATTTTATCGTTAACAATTGTAACGTTCAGTGTATGTTAAGATCATTCGTATAAATATATTACCTATATTATCGGGTATAGGTAATGCGCCGAGCGTCAGTGTGCGAAACCTCCAGCACCACCATCCGCACACTCAACCACCTCTGCCCGCAATCGGCGCAATCACACTTCTATAAATTAATTATTATATTATTAACACTAATACACTATTATGCATATTACTGGCGCCCTGCTTCCACCAATTTATTGTTCCCAAGACCGACGACCGGCTACTTGTCGGTTTACGCTCTCTTCTCTTCCTACTGTCTACGGTGACACATGGTCAGAAATATTATTATACGACATAGCAAATTTTCGTTCGCTAGTTTCAAAAGGGTGCTGTCATTTTTGATTTTAGAGTGAATGACCTATTATCAAACTATTACGTAACAATATTATCTGTGTTCTCTCGTTGGTTTTTTACGATATTTTAATTTTTAAGTGAGTTATAAGCATTTTCAAACATTAATATTTTACATACTGGTAACTCACTTAAAAATTAAAATATCGTAAAAAACCAATTAGAGAACACAGATAATATTGTTACCTAAAAGTTTGATAATTGGTCAATTCACTCTAAAATCAAAAATGACAGCACCCTATTGAAAGTATAGTGAACGAAAATTTGCTATGTCGTATAATAATATTTCTAAGACGGAGACAACACACGCGGGAGCGACGTCCTCTTAAGAGGACGTGATACCGTAAATAGCAAATTCTACACAAAGCAGAACACGTGTAGCTCCGTTAGTTTAAAAATTAGAGTGAATTGACTTCTTATAAAATCTAAAGGTAAGATTATTATCTAGAAAACCTCATGGGCTTTTTATTATATTTTAATTTTTAAGCGAGCTATGAGTATTTTAAAATTGTAAATTGTTTATAGATCTTAAAGTACTCATAACTAGCTTAAAAATTAAAATATTATAAAAAGCCTATGAGGTTGTCTAAATAATAATCTTACCTTTAGATTTTATAAGAGGTTAATTTACTTTAATTTTTAAATTAACGGAGCTACATGTGTTTTGTTGAGCGTAAAATGTCCTGTTACGGAGACAACACATGCAGGTACAACGTTCTCTTAATATACATTTATATACCTACTATTATAATATACGTTCGGAGCGAACGACCCGTAACAGCCTAGAGGAGCCGTTGAGGATTATTATTTATTCTCGTTAATATAATTGTTCAGAGAAAATATCGTCGTCTGTTTAAATTATTATTGTCGTTATTTTTTTTTATTAAGTCCTAGTTTTAAGCCCGTTTTGAGCTTTCTTGGCACCAACTCAATATACCAAGTTTTACTCACCAAAATATTGTCTATTGAGTTTTGCTTTATTATTATTATTACTGCAGTGGCGTAATTTGATAATAAAGGGCCCATGTGAACATTTCTAGACCGGGGCCCTTACCTGCTAGCAAGAATGAAATACAGTCATACCTTATTGTAACTCTAAAACATTTAAAATACTAATTTTTACTAATTATTATTTTTCTTATAACCAATAGCAACCAGTGGCGGTTTTGATAAAACTTCAAGGCGGGGGCTATTTTCAATTTTTGGGCCTCCCCCACCATAATTAAAGCAATTCAAGCATTTAGTGTAATTTGAATTAAAAAAGGAAATGCAAAAAAAATCCGAGGGGGGGGGGTGAGTGCCCCCTTCAAACCGCCACTGATAGCAACCATTTATAAACAAACATTTCTATCGTAAATCTCAAAATACCTGTTTGAGCACCTCTTCGGGTTGAACCATCGTGAATCTAAACCATTCAGAGACTCTCAAAAACACACAAAAAAATAAAAAATTATTATATTATTTTGTATATTACACATTATAGCAGGAATATCGTATAATATGAGTTCTCGGGGCCCCCGAAAACCGGTGGCCCCTGTGAATTGTACCCCCAACACTCCCGATAATTGCGCCACTGTATTACTGTGATACCTGTGTTTCCATCCCTTTAGCCTCTTATTATATTATTACGGTAAAATAAATCCACGAAGCTCCAGCCCTTAAGGTCTTGGCTCGTGGTTGGCGGCCTTGCTCAAGCCAGCGGGAAACCACATGACTCTCGAGTCATGAGTAATATGTCTCGAGATGTCACACAATATTCACAGCTTAATTTGTATTCTTTTTATTTTAGATTATTTCTGCTGTTGTAAAATATGAAGGCTACATAGAAAATAATCACAATCCAAAATTATAGAAGAGAAAGATATATTTATTTTTTACATTATAGAAGAAACAGTTAGTGTCATAACTTAATAATAATTAAATTACTTTTACATTATTCATCACCTCAATGGATTTTTTTAATTTGTCCGAGTTAATTGGTTTTCCGAATCAGCTTTGTTGTTCTAAAGAAAACAAAAAATTTTTTTAACTTATTTATTCATTTTCAAGCAATATCTTACAACTTACATGATTATTTTCAGATTTCACTTGAGATATTAGATCAGAAAGCATGCTAATCAAAGGATGTGAGTCTATTAAACGATCTTCTCGAACGGCACTGCCCAAAAAATGACCATGTAATAATTCTAAAGTGCTTAAATATAATTGTTTTCCCAGAATAGGTAACTAAAAACCATTGTAATGATTACATTTTTTTTTATAAATATTTTAATTTGTATGTTAAAATTGATTAATATAATAAAATTGCATACTGATGGTAGTTCATAAATTTTTTCTTCGGTATTATCACTAATAGTTTTCCGTATTTTTCCTGGAATTTCACTATCCTCAATTAATGTTGTACGTTTGTTAAAAGCATTTACTCCATTTATTCTTTTTTTTTCTATTTCTTCTTCTTTTAACATGTCTCTCCTTGGACAACTACAAACTTTTACACCAATTTTTTTTCTACCTAATACTTGTCCACTAAAACAAAACAAAAAAGTATTAGATATATTGTTAAGTAATTATTATACAACAGACATCTTACTGTAAAGTTTCTAAAGTAAAAATTACATAAACGGGTCTTCGGCTAAGACTCATACTACAACTAGATTTGCACATAAATTTATATAACACATTGTAAGTTTTAAAATCTGAACAAGGTACAAAATTATGAACAATGGCAATAACACTGTGCCTTTGGCTCATGTGATTTTGTTCATATACAGCATCACTTTGTTCACACCAAAGTATATGTTCCATTTTTTTTCTATCTAAAATCAAATTAATTTAAATGGTTAGTTAAATAACCTTGAATGAGTAGGTTCATAGCCAAATATTTTTTTATACCACACAATTTATCCTGCATAATATGTATAGGGCAACGTTTGATAGACAACTGTTGAAATTCAGAATTTGCAAAAATTGGTAATGCACGTATTTGAAGATTTTTTATTCCTAATAATCCAATATCATCAAATTTCCATTGGAACTGAATAGGCAGTACTCGATTCATATCAATGTATACTTTATTCAAAACGGCAGAATACTAAAACATAAAATATTCATCAAATTAATTCCTAATTTAAAAAAAAGATAGTTACAACTTACGCTATGTACAGTCGTTGCCAGATAAATTGAGCAGGCGGCGGCGGCGCGATAACGGAAAACCAGTGGTTCTCCGTATTTCAATATTATTAGTTATTACCGAAAATACATCAATAAACCAACAATTGTTACAAAAAAATATTTTACGATATTAATTTAAAATTGTTTGCACTGAGCCGGGTTCGAACTGGTGAATGCGCGCGTCATAGCCAACTGTGTGACCTATGCACCACACTACCAGCAACTAGTTTGGGCTACACTTACTGAAAATCGCCGCCGCCGCCTGCTCAATTTATCTGGCAACGACTGTACAAGATACATAAAACATCTTGATATAAATTAATAAGTTAAATTACTACAATATTTTAGTTTTACAAGAAATATTAGAAATGGATTCAATGATAATCTTATTTATATTTATATTTTATAATTTGATTCAAATAAATAATTATGTGTTTTTTTATCAGAAAATTAAAGGCTATCTTGTCATATGCGCTCTACCGGCTACATTGCGACTGCAGTATGAGCTCTACCGTGTTTTGCCACTCTACAATATTATATTTAGATTTTAGACAATAATATATTCTCGTAATAAGTGGGATGATGTAAAAGTGGTGTTAATGAAGATCTGGAGCAATGAAGCAAATCTGGAGTTGTACCACACATATTTTTCACAATTTTTAGCCTCAGAGTCCGCCATAAACTTTCAATCCTTTGGTTATGTGTCTTTGATATTGGATCTACGAAATTAAAGTAAAACGACTTAGTGATTTTACCCGTGGTTAGAGAGTCCATTATACCCTGACCCACTATTGGAATATATTGTAGACCCAACAATAACCTATCTTTGTACAATTTAGTGCAAAGTAATTTAGTCCCTTTTTTGGACAACGATAGCCGAATACCAATGGTCCATCAAGCCGTCTTCCATAGTTTCTTGCTCCGTTTTCTAGAGGATCAACGACTAAATATGCGATCAAAAATTATATGATGCAGGAAAAGATAGTCCTAATCTTTATTACCACATTGATAAAGATATAAATTGCATAGTAGAGCGCATATAACAAGTGTCCCGTAATCGCAGGTAGACCACAATCTGGGGTAGAGCGCATACGACAAGATAGCCAAATTAAAAACTATACAATATTTTATGGTATACCGAGTGATTCTTTTATCAAAGAACACTCATTATTTAAAAACCTATTTATGTTATTGAAAATATTAATTTGCATGATTTTAAGTAGTTATTTTGAAATTAAAAAACAATATTTTTGAAAAAAGCTTAAATTTTTATTTTTATAATTTTCAAGTTTGTAACTTTTTTTAAAGACAACATACATTTTTAAATCATTGTTTCAAAGCAGAATGATTTTCAGAATACTTTGATGTATTAAAATTGTATATTGAATTAGTAGTTTATGAGTTATAATTTGTAAGTAGAGTTTAGATTAGTGTAGTGAAGTGGTCATAGGTACGACTATCTACTCGACATCGAGGTCCCTCCAGGCGTCCATCTGATTGGTTTGCTGACGACCTTGCGGAAAACTATCCAAGCCTTCCAGAATATCTGCTGTCGTTTAATAACTGAAGCACCCTGGTATATCTCCAACAATGCAATAAACTCTGACCTAAGAATCTGCTGTCAACAAAACTGCTACCATATACTACAAACGCTTGCAAGCACCACTTCAATCCAACCCCAACCAGCTCTTCAGGGACCTTGCTACACCGGCACTACCCGGAAACCCAACTAGACAACTCAAGCGGAATTGGTGCCGCGACTTAAAAATTTTATAAATTGTTTAAAATAAATGTTATTGTAATAAATTGTAAATGTTATTGTAAAGCCACTAGTTGACTAGTTATCTCTAATGAGAGATTTCCTACCATGTTATCATTAGTTCATAGTTTTTCTTTTTTGACCATAATTATTACTTATTGTACACCCCTGTATAGATTGTAATATTTTCAACATAGTCATATTTAAAAAAAAAAAATCTATAATAAAAATGCAAAAAGTTTCTATTAAAAGCAATATTTAACAAAAAATGCACGCACAAAAATATTTGTTAGTAGCTTTGTAGTTATTAAATTAAATTTACTTAAGGAAAAAATAGTTAACTAACCAATTATTTAAGTTATTATTAGTTATTTCTATTATTAGTTAAAACAATACTTGCCATCCAATGCCTTTTAGACATTTCTGTAGAATCTAAAAAAAAATCAAAATTAAATTGCCCAGGATAATCTTCAGTACAAATTTGTAAACCAGTTTGTCTTAAATCTTGGTAATAAGATTCTGATTCTTCACTGTAAGATGGTGATTCAGTGTCGGCTTCACTATTGACCACCTAACATATATCATTTGCAGTATGTAAATAGATAAGTTAATACTTATTATATTATCCTTATAAGTTATAGTAAGTTATAGGTAAGTATTTATTTTTTTTTTTTTGTTAAACTAAGATACTATAATACTTGCATGGATAAACATGAATAATAACTCACCTCAATTATTTCCTCGTTTTCCAATTTAATAGTATCCATTACAATATTACATGCGACACGTGGAATAAAATGATATATGAATAGTTGTTACAAGTTTAAAAGTTTAACATTCTGGGCGATTGTGAAGCATGTAATGACAAGTTATTTCAAGTCTAAACAAGTTCAGACTTTCAGACTTTCAGAGATAAGATTAAAAATACCATTGGAACCACTGCCATGGTAACAACAAGAAACAACAACAGTTGTTTACGTACCGTGGATGATTTTACACACAACCTTTTGTTCTAAAAGCTATTTGTTCTAAGTATTATCATCATAGACCTGATAATAAACCATAATAATATAAGCCTGAACTATGATTACTAGGAGGATTAAATATTTGACTCTTATGACTAGGGTTCGGGACTTATTGCACACAAATTATAGGAAATATGCATACACATATGCACTTAAAATAACCGAAATATGCGAACAAATATGCAATTGAATATTTTTTTTAAAATTAAAAAATTTATATTATTCATTTAAATTTAGACCTTCTTTTGTAATTAGTCATATTTTTTGACTACAATAATACTATCAACATTATATTACAGAAGTGTATGTTCGATTTCATTTTCTTCGTCTTCTCCTACAATGAAAAAAAGGTTGGGTTTTTCTTTAATATATTAAATTATTATTAAATATAAAAACGATGAATTGTTCACTTGTAAAGTTTGACTGTACGCAATTAGACATTAGAACAGAGATATTGAACAACGCATGAAAGTAAAAAAAAATAAAGTTAACCTTTAAAATAAATGTACTTAACATAAAACAAAAACTGCTTAAATATGCTGTAAATAACAATTAAACTGCCAAAATTTGTCAAACATGCATTTTGCTCAGAAAACGGCAAAATATGCAAAAATATGCAATTAAAATTTTTGTATTTTAATCCGTTATGACTTAAAACAAATTTAAATCTTACTTAGACTATTCTGCAGTCATTATTAAGCCATATGCAAATGCAACAAGTCCCGAACCCTACTTATGACTCTTGACCACGGACTAAGATAAACTAATAAGATTTATCTTAGTCCGTGCTCTTGACTCTTGAGGTTTTCACTTTTCAATAGAGCCGTGGACCGTGGTCATTTTATATACTTGTCTATGGTCATGACTGTCTACAAGACGTAGTACGGGAGTCGGGCTTTAATAATTATTATCTGTTATCTAATAATATGCAATATTGTGTATGTTATTCCCTTAGATCATATACTATCAACAATCAGTCATTATTATTTATTATCAGTAAAGTTTCTAAACACGAAGAAATACCTACGTATTATAAATTAATAATTATAATTTTTACTTTTTAATTAATAAGTATTTTTTTTAATCGTGATATAAATTCATAAATGTTTACCCGTTGGTGTATACGCTATAAAGAAATGTATGATATTATATAAGTGTATTATATGTGTATAATACACTAATAAAAATATGTCTTACAGTATGTATCTACGATAAAAAAATGTCAATGCAATTTAAAAAAAAAAGAAGAAGAATCTCAATTTTGTCTACTAAAACCTGAGCAGTATGGCTGAATTGAAACAGAAACTTAAGAATCTCTTAGACACCAAGGTGTGTTTATATACTTAATTATTTTGAATAATATATTCATGTTATACGGAAATATCTATTTGTTTAACAATTTTAATTATACATAATTTTAGCTATAGTAATTACTAATTATAGTATATTATTGTAAGGGATTCACTCTGTATACACCTTCTGGTCAGGTGCGGCTTCAATGGGGTGGCGGGGGAGGCTAGGGACTGCACCTCCAAGCTGTATTTCCAAACAATTTTATACTGTTCAAAACAAATTACAAAAAAAAATGATTGGAATTTTCTGAAAATTATGACTTGCCCCCCCCCCTTCTAACCATGTCTCTTGAACCGCCCCCGCTTTTTTCGCAAGTGGAGAATGGTGACAATTTAGTTCACTATCACACTACGTATACACTGTGGTGTTTCTCAACGTGAAACTGTAGAACTACTAGTGTATTGTCACAACATTTTTACCATACAACGCGTGCACAAAAAAAAAGTGGGTTTTCTCATTTGGAAAATAGTATATTAAAAAAGGAACAATTTGGGGGGCCTTTATGTTTTTTCCTTATTAATCTGTGTATAAATTTCTCCCACACTCTACTACCAAATTTGTATATTTACAAATAGCTTTCAATAAATTTAAATTTAGATAAATATATAGGTCTATTTAAAATTTATCCAGTATGTTTAGGTATGCCCCTCTCCCCAATCAACACCTTGTTACGCCTAAGTCAGCCGCCAAGGCCATGTATAAAGATATTTTATAATTTATTTAATGTCATGGTAAAAATAGCGGAAATTCTTCTACATATTTAAAAAAAATGTACTTAATGTTTTAAGTAAACAATAAAATTTGTATGATCGATAAATTTCGAGTCCCTGTGAATATTATTTTATATTAAAATATTTTGAATTACAACAAGATAACTAAACATTTTATTTTTTTTTAAATATCCAATTAAGTAAAATTAAGAACATTGTATTAGGTATATTAATTTTAAGCTTTTTTACTCACAAAAAAAAATTTTATCAGACAATGTTTTTATTTATTTTAAGATTTGTAAATATAATAAATTACTGTTGTTTGATTTATATTTTTATAGACTGCTGTGAAAGTACCGCTCATAGGATCACAAAGATTTTCAGATATTTCTAGCAAAAAAAGTGACTCACTTTTATTAAAAGCTGTTAATAATGAAAAATTTGTTGAAAAATGTGATGCTGAACTTATATCAAATATAGATCAAGTATATTTTAACAGTTCTGATTTTTGATTTTGCCTAAATTTGAGCTAGAAGTATGTCTTAAATTATTATTAAATATTATTTATTATATATAATCTGATCATCGAGAAAATAAAATGTTAATATTTGCTCTTCATATTGATATATAATTATTTATTATCATTGTGCTATTTTTTTCTCGGTGAACCAATCATTTTGAATATTATTTAAATAAACTATTACTAATTCTAGAAATTGCCAAGAGTCTAGATAAAAAATTGATGCCAATGATGTAAAAATCTAAGGGCACAACATGAAATTGTTGAGAAACAGTTGCTACAATTGATTCTTGAAAATCAAGCTGCATGTGATGATGAATTAGACAAGTAACTAATTTTTATAATTATTGTAAATTATTATTTATAATATTATTATTAGGTATCTATTTTTTATTTTATTTTTTACAGAATTGGAATGTTACAAAATAATTTAAAATCTAGTTTAGAAAATTGTGAATATGCTAAGAATTGCTTAAAACTAGCTAAAAGACAAATCACTACAGCTGGTTTGGGTCTTTTGGGCAATTGCAGAAAAAAATCTTTAATCCTCGATTTATTAAATTCTTTAAATAGTATCAAAATGCTGGTAAGATAAAATACAACAGTTTGTTTTTATAACTTCTTTAAAAAAATGTATATTTTTAGTTACAAACTGAAAAAAAACTTGAAGAATTAGTGTCTCAAGCTAACTACGCTAAAGGAATAGCATTACTTTTAGAATGTACTCAAGGTGCTTCCCCTTTTAAACAATTTACTTGCATTGCTGCATTATCTGTTAAACTCCAAGATGCATTAATTATGACAGAAGAGCAATTAGACATTGTTTTGTCAAATGTATGTAAAATAAAACAATTGTTTAAACTATATCGACGGCGGAAAGGAAAAAGGGCATAAACGATGTTTTTGACAAAAATGTTTTTTTTTAAATTAAGGCGTAAACGACATAATTTTGCATCCATTGTGCCACCCGATTATGGATCTGTTGATTATTGATGAAGTTACATTTGATAATAAAACAATCGATAGTTGCAAGGCGTAAACACAATCTATCAAATAAAAGATTAACCACCAAATAACAGGCTTAAGCGACAAAACAATATTTTTTAGTTGTTTGGTTATTCTGTAAAATTTATAAAATGTCGCTTACTCTGTTTTTCCTTTCCGTCAATATTTGAAAATAGTGAAATAGCAATATATTTATTATATAAATATGTTTATATAGATGTGTTTCAATTTTGATAATGAAAAGTATTCAGCTGTTCAAGAAGCTTATAGACGCTTGGGTAAAACAAGAATTGCTATTGACCAATTGCATATGCATTATACATCAGCAGTCCACAGTACTTCGTTTGATACAATCAATTTATTTGTTAATACAGATAAGGTGGAAAACAATAAAAACTCCTTTGCCCTTTTGTGCCAGGTTATATTTTGTTATATTTAATTTGTTTAATTGCCTGTGATTTATTAAACAATGTAACATATTTTCAAAATAGTGTGTTCCTGATGAACAATTAATTCCATGTCTTATTGCATTGAGTAAAATATTCTGGAACATATTACAAAGCTATAAGAAAGCGGCAGATTGGCATAGAGAATTTAAAGATATTAGTACAGATAGTGAAGGTATAAATATAGTATTAGTATTGTGTACACAACTTTTTAAACTTTGTATAAAGATTTTGATAACATTTTAACAATGTCAATTAGATTTTTATTATATTTATCCGTGTGTGTTTCAGATGATATTGAAGAATATGTAAATCAAGAATATATAAGTAAAAAATTTGAAATAGGTCCAACAAGGTTGTGGGGTGACATCATTACCAAGATATCTAATTTAGTATTCAATTCAAATATGACAAAATTCAAATTTGACGACTTTCTTCAAGTGCTGTCCATACTAAACAAGTACTAGAAATTAAAATATTATTAGAACATATGTAATTTAACAGATACTTTTTTCTTAGATTATTTAAATTAACAAAGGTTTATACAAAAATACAATCAGATTGAACTGCATTATTGTCACACTTATTAAGAATTTAAAATCATTTAAACTATGAAGATATCTGATTTTTTTTTTCATATATAATATGTAGATTCTACACCAAACAAATATACTATTAATATTTATTAAGAAATCGGTTTTTCTTGTTCATCGAAATGTACATGCAAACTGCACTGTAGTCTCGACAGTCTTATATTTACTGCCACTAAATACTCGTATTATCATACTCAATTAAAGTTTTATATTACATCTTGATAAAAATTGAATTGTAATTAAAATAATTAGGAATGTGTATGTTTTGTTATGTCCACTAATGTAATTTGTAATTTAAAATAATTATTATAATTTTGGATATGATGACATTAGATGTTTTGTAAAAAAAAAAAAGAGAAGGGGGTCTGCGATTTCTAAAAATCTTTCATCGGGGGTCTGCGATCTACAAAATTTTAAGAACCGCTGATCTATATCATGTTATTTATGATTAAACAATAATTGAGTGCAATTTATTATTTTTAATATAATTTTATATTTTAGGCATATTAAAATTGGTGAAGAATTTTGTAATAGTAAATCGGAACAATTACAAAATGATACTAAAAAGTCTTGTATCAGTTATTTTCATACCTATCATAAAAATTGTCTGGATGAGCTTACAATATTTTTTGAAAACGAAAGTTGGACTCCTTGTCCAGTGAAACGTGAATTTAATTTATTTCAACTGCAGGTAAGAAAATAATAAAATATTTGAATGATTATTCAATAGAATTTATATACATTTACTTTTACCATAAGGAATATAGAACAATTAAAAATCATATTCAAAAAACTGATTCTTCTCGTCTAACTCATAGTAGAAATTCATCTATGGACAGTAGCTCTATTAGTACAAGCGAATATTTTCATTTCACGTCAGATAAATCACCGTTTGATAATGATTTAAATACTACCTACTGTGAAGATATATTAGATACAGAAGTAATAACAAACATATATTTTAATATATTTTATGCATTTTTAGTAATGTATGAATGTTTATTATATTTTTTTCTAGATGGATGGAAATAGTGTTTGTAGTGATGATACTAATAACAGTTATGAAGACACAGACAATGATAATATAACAACAGATAATTATGAAAGGCCACCTTTGCTTACAAATACAACACTGACAGTAATGAGACATTGTGGAAAATACTTAAAAATATGTAACATATTAAAATCAATATCAGAAGATGTAGTCACTTGCTTATGTCAGCTGTTTGAATATTATCTGTACTCAGTCCATTTGCTATTCACATCAGACATACTGGTAAGTACAAAAATCATTGGCTGAATATTATTCATTAAATTACCTTGTATGTTGTTTGTAGCCTCAGATATGTAGTGGTGTAAATAGTGTAAAACTTCAATCAGTAATAACTAGGATATGCAACACTTTGATTCAATGTAATCATGAAAATGAAACAAATCAAGATCCATTTGTAAGTATTTACAATATAGCAAGGCTACGAAAGTTAACTAATATTTTTAACTCTTTAATTTAACTTAAGAGGACGCTAACCATGTATTTGTTGTCTCCGTCTTACACATGCACGACATACCAAATTTCCATTCGCTAGTTTAAATAGTGTGTTGTTAGTTTTAATATTAGAGTGAATTGATCTATTATCATACTATTAGGTAAGAATAATATCTGTGTTTAAGCGTTGGCGATTTTTAAATATTTTCATTTCCAAGTAAGATATATGTGTACGTGAAATATCAAAAATTTAAAATGCTCATATCTCGCTTAAAAATTAAAATATCGAATAAAAGCCAACGCTTAAGCACAGATAATGTTATAATCTAAATATGTTATAATAGGTCAATTCACTCTAGTATCAAAACTAACTGCATACTATTGAAACTAGTGAACGACAATTTGCTATGTCGTGCGTGTGTAAGACGGAGACAACAAATGTATGGGTAGTGTCCTCTTAATATGTAAGAAAAAAAAGGCAAGTGGCACTCGGGGACTGCCGCGATAAAGCTATTACATATTAAATAAATAAGAAGTTGATATAATTTTAAATTTTTTTATTATTTTAGTTATTTAGGAATTTGTATCATAGAAACTATAGGCTTATGATAACTAAAATATGAAATATAAGTTTGAGATTTAATATTCTCCAAATATCTGGAAAATACGGCGTCGATGGGGGTCTCATATTTTGTAGTAGATTCTTGTGGATCATTATTTATACGTACATTTAATTTTTCTAAGAGAAACGTTGTTAGTCGCTCTGATTTTTTATCAGCGAAGTTAATGTTGAAATCGCTAGCCAAGATAAGTGGAAATTTATGGGAATTTCCACCAAGTATTTTTGACCCTTCTACAGTGTACTCCAGTAAAGTGCGATGAATAAAATATTCTACCTCGTCCAATTTTGGATTTGGAGTAATGTAAATGACTACAATGACTATTTCTAGGCCATTTTGCAGTTTGCATAAGCACCCACAAATATCTCCAACATTTGAGTGTCTAACATTTAAATCTACAACATTTGCCACATTTATATCAATATTCGGAGTCATATTATTGATAGTATCATTATTATTTTGGTAAATGGCTACCCCACCCTTTGAAACAGTATCTCGTTTGAAATGAACGATGCAATTGAAATTAGGTATGTCAATCGGATAATCATTTGACATGCATGTTTCGCTTGGAAGTAACACATTTGTTTGTCTAGTTACGTAATCTTGTAAATCGTATTTGTGACTGTTAAGACTTTGGCAATTGAAAGTCATTATTGAAACTCCATTTCTATTTCTAATAAAATCTAAGACACTTTGAGCTTTTGTCTGCACACAATTCAACGATAGTCTTTTAAATGCAAAATGGGTATTTAAGGATTATAGTATAAACAGAATAAACAGAAAACTTCAATTAGCTATAACTCTGAAAGTAAGTTCGTGCGCCAAATTCTGATTTCAGCATCATTTTTTTCGTCAAAAATATGACTAAGTTCCCGCAAAAAATGTCCATAAAAAGGGGTGTCCCGTAAAGTAGAAATGTTCCAAATATTGATATTTAAAACAATTGTAAAAAATCAGCCATTTTACTTAAATAAGTGTTTTTACCATATAAATTTTTCTAAAAATCAGATTTACAAATTGGCTATATTGAATATTTCGAAAAAAAATTTTATCAATTTTTAAGTTTTTTATTTTCAGTATTAAAAAATAAAAAATAAAAAATATATTCTAAAAATGTAGCGCAAGTGTCTACGAATTATATTCAAAAGAAATTTTTTAAAAAAATTGATTAGAACAAAAGTTATTTCATTTGTCAGAATATCAGATCTCTGTGGGACACTCTGTATAATATATATAATGTGTAGGTATAAATGTATTTTTATAAAATACTCACTAATTTTCTTGCACTATTTCTTCACCAGATGCACTTCCTTCACTTTCCATTTTTTTTTTATATTATATTATATTATAATAACACTTCCAGCATTACCCTGGTGTGCACAAATTTGACAAAATGAGTTTGTTTTGTTGGTAGATAAGTGAATAATAAAATAATAAATTAATAAAAAAAAAAAAGATAACGCAGCATGTCTCATACACTGTGTAATTTTATCATATCCAGATATAAATGTATATTATATAGGTAATATGAACTGTATAATTATAGGTACATTATTATACCTTGCAAATATATCTGCAAACAATAGCCGCCGACAATAGACCTTTGACCGCAGATAGCACGGTATTACAATACGGGTCGCCGCGCGGTAGGCAGAGAGGGGGATTACGGGATTCCGCAGGTAGTGGTCACGCTTTTTCGTTACGACAAATTTTTTTTCAGTCACCACACCAGGCCTGCGATAAAAGCTATGCAATAGCTTAAAAATGTATGTTAAGTTTAAAGATTAAGTTACTTTTATTTGTTTTGAACTTGTAAAAGAGAAAAATAAAAAAATAATGTACCTTGACTTGCACTCTAATGCACAATTAGGAAAACTAACTGATAAAAGTATATAAACAAAAACATAAATAATACATAATATAAGAGTAATACTAACAGAAACGAGGTTTTCCAATGATATTTTTTAAGACATCAACATCTCTTTAAAGTAGTTTAAATGCAAAACTGAGTAATCTGTTATTGTTATTGTCATGTATTTGGGTGGAACTGTAATTGTCTATGGAAATTTATATAAAGTAGTATTTATATTCTATATAGATTATTATGATCCCTATCTATATCTAGAAAGAGTACATTCAACACTTCAAAGGTCTACAATTTAGTATTTACAATATTTATAACATTACTTATAAATAATAGTTGTAAATTATTATTTTTTTTTCTTTACAATTTAATATTTTTAATTGATGGGATTTGTATTAGGAAATAAATAATGCTACTATAAATCTAATTAAGGTGTGGTGCCGATGTAATTTTTTCCACAAAAACCCCTTAATGAAAATAATTATCCTGTTCTATAGAATCCACCAAATTTGATAAGACGGTAAGATGGTAAGAGGTTCTTTGTAGGTTGGGCGCATTACAGGTTCTTCTCTGCTCATAAGATGTCGTTAGGACGTCTTTGAGTGACCTATATGTAGTCTGTTGATAACTACTTCATCTTTTCGATTTGATGTATGGGGTTTGGGCCAGTATATGGTTGTATTTTTAATTTCCCTTAAGTTTATTATTAGGTGTATGCCGCCATTCAGATTCCCATAAATTGGTACAATAGGTGCTGGCCTTCCTATAGCTGTCAATGAGTGAGGAGTAGGTGCGTATTTTGGTCAGAAGCTTATTAACTGTTTCACGAGCCACTTTGTTAGCTTTCTCATTGCCATCTATTCCACAATGGCCTGGTATAAACCGCATGTTCTTGTTGGCTTTCTCAATGATGTTGCTTATTTTAATTGCTAGGGTGCAAGAGTACAAGTTATACTTCAGATTGCTAAGAGCCCTGAGCGAATCTGTACAAATGTTAATGATCGAATTGGGCAGTTCAATGGCTAGATGGACTCCCTTCTGGGGTACAAAGTATTCCGCCGTACATAGATACTGTTATGGTCTGATGGTTTGTATGATAAGGATTGGTCACCGTTTATGATAGCGATCGCAACACCTGAGTTGGTTTTGGAAGGGTCTGTATATATTTGTGGGTTAGACCGAGAAGTGTACATGATTTTTTACAAATTATACTATACCATTATTTGAAATAAAATAAAAAATCTGAGTTTTTCGAAAAAAAAATCTGAATTCAATGATAAATTATTATTATATACAAAAAATGATTCTGAGTGGAGACGGTCTGTACACTCTGTAAAGCCATAGCAAGAGTTCAACAGCGCTCCTGGCCATTTAGCATACTTTCAGCCTTGTATATTTTCATACTTTATTGTATAGTTTTTCTTGTTTATAATTGTTTGTTGTGAAATAGGTCGAAATGAAAAGTGTTAACTTTACAGGAAAATTTTTTAATATTAAATATTTAATTTCAGATTCGAGAACCAGTAACACTTCATATGTTAAGTCTGTCAGATGCAAACAATTTATATAGCATTTCTGAACGAATTGTGGCTGTAGAATCATTAGTGTTTTTAGGAGAACAGTACAAGCTATTACATTCTTATTTGAATACATTATTAACATCAGATACGAGCAGTTATTCATTACAACAATTTTTTAATCAAGTACAATTATTTATTTATTCTAACAGTGTTTAATGATGAAGCATAATAATTAATAACAAATCATAAAACCAATATTTTTGGATTATTGATTTGTTACAAAGACATAAAATATTAAATATTTTTGGATTATTGATTTGTTACAAAGACATAAAATATTAAATATTTGTTTAAGACTGTAGCAGTAGCTGTAGATTTACGAAAACCAGTATATGGCCGTGTGATTTGTAAATCTATTGACTATAATCAAGTACTTGGCATGATGACCAAAGTCAATTGGGAGGTAAAAGATATTATGTGTGAACATAGCGGATATGTTGATTATTTCCTACAAGTATGTTGAATAGAATATGAGAATCTAATTTTTTTATTTTTTCAATGACGAATAATGTTTATAGGAGTTACGAGCTTTTTTTAAAACTCTTAAAACCTCAACATCAAATATATATTTAAACGAGCAGGTATTAAATTCTATTTGGGAAGCTATAGCTGTTCTAGTATCATCTGTTTTTATCGAAGGGTAAAATTTATGAAATAACTATTCAAATTTTTGTTACCACTCAATATTATTTTTATTTTAGATTTTCACTAGCCAAAAAATGTTCAAATGCTGGCCGAGCATTAATGCAACTTGATTTCACACAGTTTATGTCACAAATAAACTCAATTTGCCCCATCAATCCATTACCACATAAAGAACTAGTTGAAGTGTATATCAAGGCTTATTACTTACCTGAAACATCACTGGAAACATGGACAAGGGATCATCAGGTTATATTAATTTATTAATGTGCTTAATAAATAAAAGAAATAAACATTAATAGCTCTTTGTTTACATTTACATTTCAGGAATATACACATAAACAATTATTAGCTGTCATAAACTGTGTGTGTCAAAACAATAAACGGTCACGACAAAAGCTGACAAATTTACTAGAAGAATCTCTACAAAGATAATCTAATTTTCATTACTAAATGTATTAGTTATTTATTTTTAATTATTTTTATTTATTCAGTTATAAATTATGCAATTATTAATAATTGAAAAACATGTTTTTTATGTATACATCAACAGTTCAACCTAAAGTCAGTTTATTTCATATCCGTTAAATTAAGTCTTCGTTCAATGATTATTTAGTACTTAATAGTAGATACTATACAGGGTGATATTTTTATCATTGAACACTCATTATTTCAAAAAGTATTAATGTTTAAGAAAATATTTTTTTACATAGTTTCAAGTTGTTAAAAAACAATATTTTTATTAAAAAATTATATTTTTAAATATTTTTTATCCTTTTAATTTTTTAAGTTTTTCACTTTTTTGAATGACAACATGTAATTTTAATTTGATATTCAAAAACAGAATATTTTTCTGAGTATTTCGATACATAAAAATTGAATTTAGGGCAATTAGTTTATGAGTTATAAGTAAAGACCGGATTTATATGTTTTTACATATCGTTACTGGGTCTATGTAGTCTTATGAGAGTAAAAAATGTGGACGATTCGTTCAATTCTGAATGCGTAGAAAAAAGTTTTTTTTTGCATATTTGAGAATATTTCATGGGTTGGAGAATATTCAACCAATTTAGCATATTTTGGAATATTTCGTAAATTGTGAGCAAAAATTTGTATTTATTTTTAATTTTAATATTACGGTACTCTGAACAATTTTTTTTGACCATTTACAATTTATTTATTTATTTTTTCATTTTGATAAAAATAAAACAATCAGTATTATCAAGGTTTATCTATGTATAACTACTGATAAGATCAACTTATAAGTTTATCCACAGATATATACAATATATAATTATTGTATATATCTGTGAGTTTATCAAATATTCAAATATCAAAATTTTGTTTTTGTGTATTAATATTATACTGTTATATTTATATTATATTCCAACTTCCTACTCTTGCTAAAATGCAATACTATTCCATTAGGTATAATACGCAACTCTTAATACCTAATTAATATCTCACTATAAAAATATAGTTGTTAAAAAATTTTAAAAAATAAATGCATATTAAAGCATATAATGATGTTTTTTGATTATTTTTGCATATTTTAGCATATTTTTTAAATTTTTGAGAGAATATAATGAGAATATTTGAAGGGTTTTTAGAGAATATTAGCATCATATTTTGGGTATTTTAAGAGAATATAAATCCGGTCTTTAGTTATAAGTATTTAAAGTTTAGATGAGCGGAGTAGAGTGGTACGGGGTTACCCCGCAAAATGTTTGTCCACTACTCCGCTCATCTAAACTTTAAATACTTATAACTCATAAACTACTTGCCCTAAATTCAATTTTTATGTATTAAAATAATCAGAAAAATATTCTGATTTTGAATATCAAATTAAAATTACATGTTTTCATTCAAAAAAGTAAAAAAATTAAAAAATTAAAAGGATAAAAAATATTTAAAAATATAATTTTTTAATAAAAATATTGTTTTTTAACAACTTGAAACTATGTAAAAAAATATTTTCTTAAACATTAATACTTTTTGAAATAATGAGTGTTCAATGATAAAAAAATCACCTTGTATACTTATTTTATAGCACATACTATTTTTTCAATTTTTTTAGCAACTCCAAAAATTCAAATAGTCATCAGAGTTTCCATAGAATACTTATTACACAGCTAATGTCTAATGCAGATTTCAGTCTTCATTCAAGTTTAAAATAATAATTGTTGACCTTGATTCAAGAAAAGTATTTACGAAAGTGCTTGATTTTTGATAAATTATCAAAATTTCCACTAGAAATGTTGAGTATTTGATCAAAAAAGTTGTGAAATTTATTGTGTACTTACGAAAATAATGTTAACCAGAAAAGAATATGCAAATGCGTGAAAGTCCTTGCTTTACTAATTGTGCATACATTTTAGCACTTAAGTTCTAAAGTAAATGCCAAATGGCTCATACTAACAGAAGTTCCGAATTATTCATCTGACACTTCTGATAAACTCTATAGGCTATAACTATATATTATAATTTATAATTTAACAATACTCTAGGCTATACTTTTCATAAGCTTTATTTTACAAATCAACTATTACTTTAACCAAATTATGATATGTCATTAATTTGTTATGGCATGTACTCATGTACTCTTTTACATACAACTTGCTATTTCTCAAATATTTTTAGCCTAGAGCTAATAGCATTGTTTTGATGATGTTTTTTTAGAATAATACAGAAGAAAAGCTAATATTCACAAACATTTAACAATTAATCAATGAGTACCTATGAGGTGGATTTCAAGAAAGATGATCATTCAACCACCTACTGACCTACGTCATTTTTTACCAAAAACATGCTGATAAATTTCCTTACATTTTAATTAAGCTTGCTGAGAGAAATCGCTAAGTGTCAACATTGGGTTCACTTTTTAAATAACACTTACTCCTCATGTTAATTTGTGAAAGTCGATGATAGGATTCATTCAAGGTTATTGCTATATAATATAGTAATACGTATCAGTTTATAAAGATTTATTATATAATAATATCATATTATGATATTGAATATTTATAATACATAAGCTTAATATATGATAATATATCATTTATCCATACTAATATAGCTTTTCAACTAGGTACTTATGGACAATGAAGGTTGTTATTTCTGATTTAGATCCATTATTATTCATATTGATATTATCTAAGAAAGTAAGAACTAAGTTAACAATAATTATGAAGTAACAATCTGAGGACATTTTTTATGTAGTATCACAAAGTCTAACTAAAAATATAACTATTCACAATACTTAAGTTCACAAAAGAATAGTAAGACAGAGGTAACCGGCAGATTATAAATATTTAAAAACTACAAAATCAATTTGGGTTAATATAATGAAAACATTTTGTAAGGGGCCCTCAGCAATAATTATTATTTTTATAGGCTTAGTTAAATTTTTTTATTTTTAAATCATCAGTGATTTAATTGTTCTAACTATGGATATATTTCAATGTTGTAGAACTAGTGACTATAATTCCATCCATCAATTAATTCTTTACCAATTACAAAGGCAGAAATGAGCATAAGACCAAGGTACATGCGGTCCAAAGTACAACACTCTCCCCTACTCTGAATACGTTTGTACTTTTCATATAATTTAAAAATCTGGTGGTCGTAAACTGCAGTCTCTTCAGAGAATACCTACATACTATTTAATTGTATAGGATTCTCCAAAGAAGATACTGCGATAAGTATTGGACATAAACATGTCGTTAAACTACTTTAACTTTCCAAAAAACAAAATTATGTAGATAATCAACAACAAAATGTGAAGTATGGTGGGAATGGAAATATATAACTTATAGTGGATAACTCTAAAAGGTAAAACTTAACTTTACCCAGGAAAAAATGAACAATCAATATAAAATACAATGGTATAAAAATATTATTAATAGGTGCATCTCAGTTCACAGTAACACGGCTGTGTTGTAGTCGGCGTAGTGTACCTATCTTTGTGAAATAATTCAACATAGGTCGGCAACCACAAGTCGTAGATTAGATTTTAAAGTACTTTTTAGATTTTTGATATCTTTAAAAATCACTCATATTATTACCAGTATTTTAGTATTTATAAATTTATAATACCTAATTGTATTATAAATTGTAATGAATATCTTTATAATTATCATTTATCATAAACAATTTTAATTAATATTAATCTAATAAAATATAAAATACCACAGCACAAACAAGTTTCAGTTCCCCAAGAAAAATATTTTTGAATTACAACAAAATAATATTACAAATTTTACTAATTTTCAAAAGAATAAAAGTGGAATATTTGTAGACTTCTTAAGAGGACGCCATACCCGCTTGTGTTGTCTCCGTCTTACAAACGCTTAACATACCAATTTTACGCTCAGAAATTCAAGTTGCATGCCGTAGCTTAAAAATTAGAATGAATCAACCTATTATGGAACTTGGTGGTAAGAACATTATCTGTGTTTTTTTGGAAGTTTTTTTTAAGATAATTCAGTTTTTAAGTGAGTTATAGCGTGTATAATAAATGTAAATTAAAAATGCTCATAACTGACTTAAAAACTTAAGGGAATATTAGTATCATTTAACAACTTTTTTGAACCTAAAACCTATACTTTAGTCATGCATTCAGCTAATGGAACCTTACCGAACCGTACCGGAACCCTTTAAATATTGGGAACCAAAACCTCACCGAAACCCTTATTTAAATTAATTTTAATACCAAAACCTCACCAGAACCCTTATTTAAATTAATTTCAAAACCGGAACCTTACAGGAATCGATAATTTTACTTTACAAATTTTTTTGTATAAGTATAAAACCAGAACAGGTAACTAATTTTTTATTTTTTAATAACTGAAAAGAAATTGAAACCTAAATTTTAGTTTTTTTTGGAACCGAACAGGAACAAAAAACGTAAAAATCATCAAGGTACCATTCCTTGCGGCCTGCGTGCATTATTTAATTTATATATTACTGTATGCTACTAATATTTTATTTTAATATTACTTACATATTTTTCAAAACTGATTGGAATAAATTATTTTTAACTTTTAATACACAGCCTCTAATATTTTATGTTTGTGTTACTTTTTGTTAGTTTATATAGAATATAAGCATGTACCTACTTGGTTAGATTACCTGACCTACTTGTTAAAAATTCCGATTTCATAATTTTAAAAATCACCCATGTCAGTTAATAGGCTATGGTTGGAATGTTTGATTGTTTATAAAATTGCAAGCATTTTGAAATAATAATATGACTTTTAATTATGACTTAGAAACTCTGGTCTTCTTCTTAATCCACCAATCTTTTTTAATCATCAATCATAGACCTCACAAGCTTACATAACTAACTATAACTTATATATTATATTAAATAAATTTTAAAATTATTAAAAGTTATCATTACAAATATAAAGGTCAATGGATTTGAGGTAGCATTTTTTATTATTATTATAGTAGATATTAAAAACACAATATGTATTTCTGTATGTATGAATATATTTTTTTGAAAATTCAAACATTAATAATACTAAATTCCAAGAATTACTAATTTCTACCATGTCTAGCCTCTATATTTATGTTTAAACGGTCATATTAATTTTAATATTAAGGTTTAATAGTAATATTTAGGTTTAAACTATACACATCTTTCTTGTTTTATGATCGTATTAATGAAAACATTATGTAAACAGTAAACATAGAATGGAATGTAGTTTAATGATTGACCACTGACAAAATACACAAAAGGGATTTAAAGACAATATTTTTGAGTTAACCCAGAACTTTGGTTGACAATAATAACTTTATGATAAACTTAAATAACTTTGATCTTTTATGAAGCAATAAAGTATCGGTAAACGAAGATAGCAAGCACTCCCATCGTCAAAGGCAGCAACCACGATTTCCAAAGACTAAAAAATAAAAAACCTGTATTATTCATAATGTATTAGAAAGAAAAATGTAAAATGAAAACATGTGTATAACTATATTTTTATTTCAATAAAATTAACATTATCTTTTGTACTTATCTATTTCGAATAAAATATATAGAATTTTATAATATATTAGTACAATCAAATTTTAAATGATATTAAGTTGATAACATAATAAACCAGCATGCACTTATAAAGATATATTCAGAGAAACTCGTAGCAAAAAAAATTAAAGTGTACTTATATTATGTACATAAAATATATTTTGATATCTTTTATCATTTTTTTTTTATGAAAAAAAAATAAAAAAAAATAATTATTCTTATATAATCATAAGTATTCATTACCATAATATTATATACTAGGTATAAAAAAAGTATGTGGGAAGTTATCAAACTTAATTATTAAATAACATATTAATTTTAAGCAATCATACATTTTAATTTCTTTCATAGTACTATTGAACATATAATGTGCTAAGAAATATAAATTGCAATGAATAAAGAGTAAATGATTTGAATAATTAAAAGGTTGGTAATATTGCAGTTACGACTATATCACTGCCCACAGGAAATGTTATTGTTAACAATTTCATTAGAAATATGAAGTGTAATGTAATAACTATAACGCCGTGTCCTAGCCGATTTGCACCCATGCGGGGAAAAACAAAATAGCTTGTATTTCGCCGCATGCTGCCAATGCATTGCGACAGAACAGCATGGTATATATATATTATATTTCGTTAGAAATTAAAATCCCGTTTTTAGAGTTTTTTTTTTGTAATTTGTTGTTAGTTTTTCTGGACGCTTTCTAAAACTACTTGGAATTATACATTTTAACCTCCCAAAAGTACCAACTTTTCTACCAGAAAAAATGCTGATGTCAAAAATCAAAGCATCGATATCTAAAATGTTGCTGACAGACAAAAAAAAAACACATAATTGTAAAACCAATACATTCTTTCCCTCCGCTCAGAATCTAAAATGAGGATATTATTCTATAGAAAAATATACAATTTTGTACAGAAGCTGAAATATTGACCAAGTTAGCACATATCACTTATGGCAGTAGCACAAAATATTATGAATTTAATTTAAAGATATGTACACATATTGTTTGTTATTTGGGAGGAAAAATTAGGTATTAAGTTAAAGTTAATCAATTTTTAATATCAATAACAAGTAGATTAAAAAATGGTGTGGTTTTTTTAAAAATACATTTAAATCATGTTTTGTAAATAAATGTATACCTAATTTTAAAAATAATTAAATACCATTAACATTTCTTTTCATATATATTTCATTAAAAAATAACTTGATAGACTAATAAAAATCAATAAAATAATACTCATGCGTAAATTTATTTCCTTAACACATCTTACTAACCTAAAATCATCTCCAGATGCACTTGATGATACAGGTGTTGGTTTGTTCACAGGTTTCTTATTTTGTCTTTTATCCTCCTAAAATTAAAAAAATATTAAAACTAATTAGGTATAAAACAATATAATTCATATTGTGATTAAAATTAATAACAATTAAGGAAATATTTTTGCTTAAAATATTTGATTAGATTATAATATACAGAATATACTATAATTAATTAAATATGAACAAATAAACTAATTTCAAAATCATTAATACTAACAACTATAAAAATAAAATATGTAGAGAATGTTGCATAACCAAAGATCAAATATATAAATGTAAGCAATAAATACTTAAAATGTAAAATTATACAAATTCCTTTTTATTTTTTATAACTAATTTAAATGGATAAACGGTAGTAATAACAATGGTAGGTATATTTGTTTGTTTAATACCTGAAGTGTTTTATATAGTATTAGGCTTAATATTTTTCATTAATCGATTTACTAAAATAAGACAATTATTTCAAAAGTCATTAAATTTAAAAAGATAAATATATCGATACAAGGAATAACCCATTAAATTTTAATATGAAAAGCATAATAAGCTTATTTTAAAGTACCTACCTAACACCAATGGACTATGGACTCCAATATCTTGTCAGTCTATAGATATTAGGTAGTAAAATTAAGTCAGTTACCTATTTATAAGTATGTAGTTATTTTTAGATGTTACAAATTACTTAAAATGTTAATAACATAAAAAAAGACCTAGTTAGGAACACATAATTTCCAGTGTTCTATTATATATGCACCTAAATAATGATAAATAGATTTAAGATCAGAATTATTTCTACATCACATCCACAGCATACAACTACCTATTTATATAGATATTTTTTTTTTGAATAACAGTAGATTGTGACTACTTATTAATTACTACGTTTATATGATGGCGTTAAAAGGGTTTAAGACTAAACCGTTTTGAAAGTTAAAACGCTCGTGCTATGTAGTTTAAAAATTTAAAACCGTTTTATTTGCTGAAACGTTTATATGTACATCTGATAAACCGGTTTAAGCAAATAAAATGGTTTTAAATTCTTAAACTACATAGCGCGAGCGTTTTAACTTTCAAAACGGTTTAGCCTTAAACCGTTTTAACGCCATCATATAAACGTAGTAAATGATATTAGAATTACATTTTAAAATGTAATAGAACCTATAGGTAGGTATTGCAATACAAAACTAGGTACCTACGTATATAACCTATCATGGTCTAAATCAGTTAATTTGATTGACACGCCTATTAGTTTACCTCAAACAGCCTCATTATTAGCAGTAAGGGATGAAGCACTTCACTACCTATATGCCCTCACAAAGTTACAATGAGATGCCTAGATTAATGACATTAATAATATGATATTGAATCAGTTGCGCAACCTCTGGTTTACATCAACTACAGAATAGGTATAACAAATCACATAAGTACATAAACATCAACAATCCTTGACCACTAATAATTAGTAAGCCAACCATACACAGTGTTTGAAATCATGATAAGTACTCATTATAGATGTACATAAGTACTGACCAACAATATTTGTCCTCGAAATCGAAAAATTATAATTTTAGTTAGATACTGAGTGTACACTAAGGCTGTGCAAACAAAGTGGATCCGAACAATATCCCAAACCGCAAAATATCCAATATTCTATCCCCTACAGACACTTACTTCTATAAGTTCTCCAATTTTGTATTTTTGCATGACTTCGCGTGCGTCACTCGAATGTCCTACGTCTTCAAACTCCTCGGTCGCGTCCTTGCCAGCTTGTTCCAACAGGACCTCTTCGCCACCGGGATGCTGTAATCAAAAACCCAGATGACGGATTAAAACCGATGGCTAGACAACGTGTACCCGGCGGAACACAATCGGCGCGGAGTGGACGTGACTATACAACAACGGTGGAGGACCTACGTCGTTTAGAAATTCTGTGACGTCGTATATGCAGTCGTTGATCACGATCCACGGGTTTGTAGCGTTCGCATTTCCAACGACCTCGGCCATTGAGTATTTTTTTACTTCTTTTTCGGTCATCGTGACTTACGGGTAACTGTTACACTGCGGTATGGGGTGCGATCGAATAGTGTCGAGCGCAGGACACGAAAGTGCGACGGTGAAAAAACGAGAAGTAAAAAAAAACACACTATATATTACCTAACCTAACCTACTGCTCACAAGACAACTTAATGGAATATAAATTATAAATATTCGATAATATTTTATATTATTGTTATCGGATATGGACTACAGGTACACGGCGGACAAGAAGCGTGGACACTGGACAGCGAACGAACGGTGATCTGGCCTACTATAATATCAATTATTATAGGCACAGATTGCAATAATTATGTATGTCGTTAAAACGGGAACTACGGGCAGCGAGTGAACAGCGACCAAATACCAACGGAATAGCGGAAAATATACACACTGTCATTTCTGACTGAAATAGACACGAGTACACGACGACCGGAGTACCGGACCGGTATTCGTAATTCGTATACGACGTAAGGTGTAGCGAAAAGGTGGGAGTGGTGAAAACTATAGTAATAATATTACGAGGCGAGGTGATTGAGCCGACCACGACTGCCGCGAATCGACGTCACAGCGGTTGGTTGGTAGGTTCGTCGGTCGTTAGCTGCGTGTGTTCACGGTTATGTGACCTTATCATCGAAATTGATAAAAAAAATAAAAAGATTGGTAACACAGATATCTATACTATAAAAAAAAGGCATAACAGAATACCAAGGTGTACTATATTGTCTATATTATAAATATCTGTGATTAGTATTTAGTAATGCCGTTGATGATTAAAAAGTAATATTATAAACATTAAACTCTACAACTTTACTGTAGGTACCTATATTATAGCGTCCACTACACCACAGAATAATTCTGTCAAATTCTGTGGCTGCACTATTATAGTAAGCAGTTGTAGGTAACACTTTTTTTGTGAAGATAATCAATAATTTGATTGAAAATAGTATACTATAAAATAAATTATAAAACCAACGTCCAATATATATTAGGACATGGAGGACCCCCCCCCCCAAATCCGCCACTGCTAATAAGTATGCAAATTCTAATTTATAAGGGAATAAATTATCAGTTTTTTTTTTTTTAAATCAAATTTATTTTACTAAATTAAGTTTTTTTAATTTTTAAGATAGGTAGCCATTACCTTGATCATTTTTTTTGAAATAGTTTAAAAAATATATTTTAAAATTGTAGAAAATATAACAAATTAAAGCAAGTTAACTTACATCGTTAACTTCGTAAGAATAATAATTGTGTAAGCTAAACACGATTCGTATGACTTAAAAAATCTAATTTTAGTTGTTTATGACAATCTAGGTAACACCTATTTTATTTTAAAAAATGAATTATAAGTTCAGAGTACATGATTAGGTACCTACTAATAGTACTAAGAGGGGGGGGTGTTCAACAAAGATTGTCATAAACAACTAAAATGAAATTATTTAAGTCATACGAATCGATTGGCCATGGAGATGAATAGATGATACTAAAGTGATAACGGACTTTTGGGACCTACTGTATAACTGTATAATAATTATATTTGTATACAAAATATTATATACCATGCTATTGCCGCTCGGCAACGCTGGACGACTGCGCACTTCAATTCCCTCCAACCCACCGCCGGCCATAGGGTTGCCCTTGACTTCCTCGGAGCGATAAATGATGATGCGAAGATTGCTATCCAATACTCACAACAACTCACTCTAGTTACTACTCAGTACAAAATATGATTCATACCTATATAAATTGATGATCGACGTTCGCCAGGGGAACTTTATTATAACTGCTACAATATACTATATTATATAGTATATAAACGTTCTACATTATAAATTATAAATAGGTATTACCTACTTGGTTACTTATTACGACGCATAACGGACGACGGTTGTACTTGAATAAGTAGGTACTTGAATAGTTGAATACATCATATTATGGGCAATAAACATGACCTATAATTGTATAAATGTATAATATATGTATATAATATTGTATAATGTATGTTAACTCGAAAAGTGGAGCAAATAGGCGGGGGGCTTGGGGGGGAGCTTAGCCCTCTCAAAATTATACCGTATGGTGCAGTAAAACTGATTCGATTTTTTTCAACAGTATCTTGTTCGATGTGAAAGTGAATCTAGTCTTGCATTCGGTGGTCAAAATTAAAAATTCTCAATAGTTTTTAAAAGCGCCGGGAAAAACAAAATAAAAATTAGGTAATAACGGGAAAATAGATTTTGGTCTTTAGTGTAACTTTAAAACAAATGACCGTAGGTACATGCAATATTCACTAGTTGTTTATATTAGCATTTTCTATACACGATAGAATTTTCAAAATATTTTGATTTTTTTTGAACTGTTTACGGACATTTTCAGTTTCCAATTCTTTTAGTTTTTTATTCTATAAATATCAATGAAATTGTATTTATTGGGTAAAAAAGCTTGACAATTTAATAGAAGGCTCCTAATACATTGTTTCAAAGACAGATGAAAAATATTAAAAATCCATAGTCACAATTTTTTTTTATAAGCATTTTTTTTTTTTTTTTTTTTTATTTTTATAATTTTTATTTACAATCTGTTACAATAAAAATATGAACAATAAGTAAAATAGATAATTGAATGAATAAGTGGCTTGAGGAAAGGACGGATTTAAGAAGCCTTCCAGTGAAGACACTTTGTCAGCTGTTTATATACATTTAAATAAGTTAACAATTATTTATAAATAGAAAAAGATTAGGTAATTAACTAAATTAATAGGTCCCGACACCACCGCCTTTTTAGTCTTTTCCTAGGATTGTCGGGTATGTTTGCCGACGCAAGTCCTTTAATTAGGGGATTATCATGGTTTTTAACAGATAAGTTAAATCGTCTATAAAAAGTTCTAGCTACATCACAGACGGGTGAGATGGCAAGATCGTTATGTAAGGTCTGGTTGGACACGTAGAATGGTGCTTTAGTTATGGCTCGGAGCGTTTTGGATTGGAAGCGTTGGATACGGTTAGTGTTTGAAATTTTTGCAGAGCCCCATAATTGAATTCCGTACGTCCACATTGGTTTAAGATAAAGTTTATATATTAGAAGCTTGGTTGGTAGTTTTATGTGTTTGGAGGTTAGGAGAGAGCGGAGAAGACGAAATCGATTGTTTAAGGATAGCAGTTTGCTGCGAAGATGAGGAGACCATGTGAGGCGTTGATCAATGATTATGCCTAGATAGCGAGTGCTCTGCGCGGTTGGCAAGATTTGCTCATTTAAGGTAATAGATGGGCATATTCCCTTCCTAAGAGTGAAGGTACATTGTATAGATTTAGATTCGTTTATTTTCACACCCCACTCCTTGTACCATTTTTCGAGGAGGGATAGGTGTTCTTGGATATGCGAGGAAGCAATGGATGGATCATGGCTATTGGTTAAAATAGCTTTGTCATCGGCAAAGTCAGCGATGAGGCTAGTGGGCAGCGTGGGTTGATCAGATACGAATATATTAAATAACAGAGGAGCAGTGACTGCGCCCTGGGGGACTCCTGCATTTATGGGTTTTGGTGAGGAGTTAGATGAACCATAACGTACCGAGAAGAAACGATCTTCTAGGTAGGACTTGAGTATAAGATAATAAGTAGACGGTAGGATGAGTTTCAGCTTAAATAAAAGGCCTGTGTGCCAGACTCGGTCAAAGGCTTGAGAAACGTCAAGGAAGGCCCCAGTGCAATATTGTTTTTCTTCTAGAGAAAATGATATTTTATCTACTATACGGTGAATTTGATGTATCGTGGAGTGTTTGGTACGAAAACCAAACTGAGAGTCAGGTAAGACTTTGGATTCAGCGATAATGTTTAAGATTCTTTTTAATAATATTTTTTCAAACACTTTCGACAGTATTGGAAGCAGGCTAATAGGTCTATATGATGTTGGACAGTCGGGTGGTTTTCTTGGTTTGAGAATGAGTATGATAGTGGAAAACTTCCATAATATAGGGAAGTAAGATAATCGGAGCATTGAGTTAAATATATAGGTGAGAAGTACGATAACTTTTTTTGGAAGCTGGTTGAGTATTTCAGAAGTTATTAGATCATAGCCAGGAGACTTTTTCCTGGGGAGTTTAGATATTATATAGCGAATTTCAGCAGGAGATATGTGCTTCGGTGGGAGGGACATTTGTAGTGGTGAGTTGAGAAATTGTTCAACTATATTAATTTTTTCCGGAAGGAGAATGGTATTGTGAGGTTGAAAAGTATCAGCGAGATGGTTTGCGAATATGTTAGCTTTCTCCTCATCAGAGTGTGCCCAGTTTCCATTTGCATTGCGCAGGGTGGCTGGGGGATTTCGTATACGAAGAAGTTGTTTGGTAGCTTTCCAGAGAGAACCGTCCTTAGTCGTAAGTGATTCTAAGTGGTTAGTATAAGATTTGTTTCTATAGTTTGCTAGGGTCCGTTTGAGTTTTTGGGCAAGCATATTGTAGTGGGATTTATCAGTGGGATATTTTGATCTTTGCCATAGGCAGCGAGCGCGACGTTTTTGTGCTATGAGACTACGGATGTAAAGGGGAATGATCATGTTACATGTGTGTGATTGCGTGGGTTGCGCTGATTCCCATGCTGAAGTTTGGATGTTGGATGTAAAAAGATTCACTGCTTCATCGATGTCATTGGTTGTCTTTAGGCGGACTTTTAGACTGGTTTTTTCCAGTATTGACTTATGGAAGTTATCCCAGTTGATATGAGAGTGTAATGGTGTTGGGTTGTGTTGGTTGGACAGAGGCTGGCAGTCGATTGAGAGTAGAATGGGGGAATGATCTGAGCATGGAGCGTGCAGATTTGTAATTAATGAGTGGAGTGTGTTGGGAATTTTGGTTACAAATATATCTAATATATCTGGTCGTTTTCGAGAGGAAGTTGGCCAATAAGTCGGGTTGGTAGGTGAGATTACTTGTAGGTTTTTGTTTATTACACTATGTAAGAGTGAGTTCCCACGAGGGTTTGTGACCCGGCATCCCCATTGAA